TCGTCCTGTCGAGGACGACAAGCGCTACGCGGGCGCGTGTCCGATATGCCTGGGCGAGTGGGCGGAGCAGGACGACATCAGGGTGCCGATCCTCCTTCTACTCCTTTTCTGCCCTTCTTCCTCTTGACTCCTGGCCTTCCTTCTCTCCTGATCGGTGCCGTTTTGCGGCCACGCGTTCCACAAGGATTGCTTGGGCCGCTGGCTGCAGGCGCGGGGGTTCCTCAGAGTAGCCGGCAAAGTCAGCATCCGTCGGGCAGAGGAGAGGTTGCGAGCGGTGGTCAGGCAACCGTACAGGCTCGGAATCATGCCTACCACACAGTTGCCCCAGCAATAATCGAAATACATATGAACGCTGTCGTTGGGAGCGAGCTCTTTCGTCCCATTCGTCCCATTGCAGGAGGCTTTGTCCTCTTGCGTGGAAGACGCGGACCCTGTTGGACCGTGCCACCGTATACCCGAACAGTAACTTGTTGCATTGTGGATGTGTGAGCTACGGTGTGCAAACTATGTGGTGTGAGCTATATGTGGTTCAACCTACGTGGTGGAAGCCAATTGATGTAAAGCTACTTGGTGCAAGCTTTGTGGTGCAGGCTAGCTGGTGTAACCTATATGGTGCAACACTTTATGTGATGTCAGTTATGAGGTGCACGCTGTGCCTTGCAAGCTACATTGTTTAATCCGACGTGGTTCAAGCTAGGTCGCGCAAGCTGCGCAAAGCAAGCCCTGATGAGTTGTAAACTCCAGAGCCCTCGCAAACATCCGATATTCCCACCCGCAACTTTTGAGACAACACCCATTCGAGCACGATGGCGTTTGTCGTACGAACCTGGAGTGCGCAAGTCTACGGCCACACAGACTGGCGCTCGCGCGCTCCCGCGCGGATTGGCCCGTTGGTGTGGCCCAGCTGGTGCGGTTGCGATGGCGCTTGTCGAGGGTAGTCCCCAGCGCGTCTCACAGGTCGAGCTGGCACGCGGCTGCTTCAATGATGGTCGGTGGCTCGGGCGGGCGCAATATAATGATGACGTCGACAACGATGGCGATGATAACGATGACGACGACCAAGCCAATGACGGCGCCGATGCTGGTGACAACGATGACGATGCTGATGTCCGCGTGTCAGTGGGTTGGGTAATTGTGATGGTGCTGGCGGCAATGGGCGATCATTGGCGATGGCGGCAACGGCGGTGATGCGATGGCGCTGGTGAAAGCGATGGGGAAGCTTTCGTGCGCGAAACGGAAGAACGCTGGCGCACTCGTTGCGGAGTGTTTGTTTTCACGGGTTTTTGAAGTGTGCCGTCTCAAAATGCGTGGACAACCAATGGTTTTGGACGGGTTTCGACGCGCACGCGTGGCGGCGCGCGCATGTGATCCACATGCTGTTATGTGGCGCGGAGTTGAGCACTGGGTGCATGCAAGATCAAGGCGGGCGCACTGCGTGGTGACATGTTAGTGCGGGGGCTGGGCTGTGTTGCAAACGCCACATGGTTTTCGCAGGGTTGCAGCTGGTGCGTGTGGGCAGACTGTTTGCAATGTTGGCCTGGCATGCCAATGGTCTTAAATCTTCTGCGTTGAAGCGCTTGCAGAACTGGCGTGGTTGGTCTGACCTCGACATGTGCACACGCGGGTAGACTTTGTCGTGTCCTTCGCTTGAGCACGGTTTTTTGACACAACAGACCATTTGATGTTGTAGAGCGTGCGCGCGTGTGCGTAGAATCATTTGACAGGGGTACGAGGGGGAATACCGCTTGGGCTCGGGCACCATGCTTTTAGATGGAAGATGACGGCAAACCATGACCGTATGTACATTGCAGTGGCCCAGAGGGGCCCGATATGTCTGGACTCGGGAGGGTGGTGGATGCTATTCTTCTTTTGAGGAGAGAGAGAGAGAGAGAGAGAGTGCACGTGGTGCACTCACGGTGCCCGACCTCCCACCCGCAACCGGTTTTACACAATCCTTACGGCCGCGATTGCGGTGAGACTGCCTGGCACTGGCTGGTTCATCTCATCGATAGCGCTGGCGCTCGCAAGCTCGCGCGCAGAGGGGAAAGCTGGTTTGCCACATGTGATGTGACTGCAATAGCGCTTGCCAGTGGGAGCTTCCGAGCGCATCTCACAGGTCGGGTTGACAAGCGGGCACACCAGTGCGGGTCGGGGGTTCGGGCGGGCGCGATATCGTGATGACGCACGGCGGTAACGATGATGATAGCCGCGATGGTGGTGGCGGTGGTGACGATGACGACGGCAGAATCAATGACGGTGCCGATGCTTGTGGCGACGAGGGCGATGACGACGTCAGTGTTTCGGCGATGGCAGGTGGTTGGCTGATAACGGCGGCAATTGCGGTGCTCGACGATGACGGTGTTGGCGGTGATGTGGTAGCGTGTGTGAGGAAGATGGTGAGGAAGTGCGCGCGCAGAGATGCAAGAAACTTGGCGCACCTTTGTTTGACACGCCATGTGTTTTCCATACGTTTTTGGAAAACGCTATTTCGGATTACGTCGGCAACCATTGGTCTTGGACGGATTTCGACCTGCGCGCGCGGGGCGGCGCACGCATGTTGTCCGCATGGTGTTCTTTGTCACGGGTTCGCGCACTTGGCGCATGCAGGATCAACGCGGATGCGCCGCATGGTGAGATGATAATGCGGGTTCTGGACGAGTATGTTCAAATCTGATTTTTTCGTGGGTTCAGCAAGTGCGCGCGGGCAGACATTTGCAAGGCTTGTGATGTCAAGCCTTTGGTTCTTGGTTTTCTAAGGTTGAAGTCTTACATACCTAGCGTGCTTGGTGCCGATTTGGCATGTGCGCGCGTGTTCTTTGTCCTCCCATCCATCCTGTGGTGTAGGGTCCTCGTTTTGAAGAGACAGTGCCCCGCGTCCCACCTCCTCCTCCTCCACCTCCTCCTCCTCCTCCTCCTCCTCCCGCTGTCCTTCCTCCCACCCCTGCCTCTGCCCTGCGCGTGCCCACTGCAGTACACGCATCACATGCGACGTGGCCCCATGGGGAGCTCCACCGAAGGCCCTAGTGGCAGGGTTCGCATGCGGCTCTCCGCCCACCGCATATTCCCATTTGGGCACACCCCTCGCACGCTCAGGGAGCTCCAACGAAGACCCCATTGGCAGGGTTCGCATGCGGCTCCCCGCCCAACGCATGTCCGTTGTGGGCACGCCCATCACCCGCTTCGTTGCCCAATGGGACCTGCACCGAATGCCCCAGTGGCAGGTTTCGCATGCGGTTCACCGCCCACCGCCTGTCCATTTGGATACACTCCTGCCAAGCGTCGTGGCCAATTAGGGAGCTCTACCGAATGCCCAAGTGGCAGGGCCCGCATGCGGTTCCCCGCCCACTGCATGCCCATTTCGGCACGCCCTTCACACGCTTCATGGCTCCATATGGGGGCTCCACCGAAGACCCTGGTGGCAGGGTTCACATGCGGCTCTCCGCACACCGCGTACACGCTTCGGCGCACCACTCACGCGTGTCGTGGCCCCACAAGGGGGGCTCCACCGAAGGCTCTGGTGGCAGGGCTCACAGGCGGCTCCTCGCCCACTACATGTCTATTTCGGTACACCCCTCACACGTGTCGTGGCCCCATGGGGAGCTCCACCGAAGGCCCCAGTGGCAGGGCTCACATGCGGCCCCCCGCCCACCGCATGTTTTCGTGGTCCCATAAGGAGCTCCACCGAGGACGACACTCACAACTGCGTTACTCACATCTGCATGTGGTTGGGTCCTTCGCTATTGTTTGTTCTGTTGCAGGGGAGGTTCTTGAACAATGACTTGCTAAGATCAGCGAGTGTGCGCGCGATGCATTATTTGACAGGGGTGATGGGGGCGATAACCGGTCGCCTGGCGCGACATGATTTTATATTGAGGATGGACGACGGCGCAAGCAACTATGACATTATTTAGGCGAAGGCCCCAACCATATGCAGTTGTGATTGCCGCGTTGTGGGTAGCGCTTTCGGTGGAGCTCCTTATGGGGCCACGAAGCGTGTGAGGGGTGTGCCGGACTGGGGTGGGCCCGCCATGCGAACTCTGCCACTGGTGCCTTCGGTGGAGCTCCTTATGGGCACGAAACGTGTGAAGGGGTGTGCCGAAATGAGGCGGGGCCGCCATGCGAACCCTGACACTGGGGCCTTGGGCGTTCGTTGGGATTCCACACGGGGCCACGAAGCGTGTGATAGGTGCGCCGAAAAGGGGCGCGTGCTGCTCGGTGGAGCTTCTTATGGGGCCACGAAGCGTGTGAGGGGTGTGCCGAAAGTGGGCGGGCCCGCCATGCGAACCCACGTGGAGCTCCCTATGGGGCCACGAAGCATGTAGGGTGTGCCAGAATGGGGCGGTGCCGTCACGCGATCCCTGCCGCTTGGGCTTGGGCGTGCGGTGGGTTTCCACGAGTCTTGTGAGGGGTGCGCCCACAAGGGGCGGTGCTGCCATGCGAACCTTGCCATTCAGGCCTTCGGTGGAGCTCCCTGTGCGCCCATGACATGTGTGAGGGGTGTGCCTACATGGGGCGTGGCCACCCACTGGGGCCTTCAGTGGGGCTCAGTATGGGGCCACGAAGCGTGGGAGGGTTATGCCGAAATGAGCGTGCGGAGGATGGCAAATGCAGGGATAGGGAGGAGGGGGGGGAACATGGGGAGGGCAGAGGAAGGGAGGCAGGAAGGAAGGAAGGAAGGCAAACAGTAAGGAAGGAAGGAAGAAAGGAAGGAAGCGGGGCGCTGCTGATTCAAAACGAGGGTCCAACACCACAGGATGGTTGGGATCAGTCAGTTCCTGTGAAGGGATCCAAACATGTGCAGCTGCGGATATCGCGAGGCAGATGCGACGCAGGAGGGGGGCAGCAATAGGATTGGGGGAGGATGAGGAGGAGGAGGAGGAGGAGGAGGAGGAGGAGGAGGAGGACGAGGAGGAGGAGGAGGAGGAGGAGGAGGAGGAGGAGGAGGAGGAGGAGGAGGAGGAGGAGGAAGGAGGAGGAGGAGGAGGAGGAGGAGGAGAGGAGGATGAGGGCGAATGAGGGCACGCCGGGGCAGGGGAAATGCAAGCTCCTCGGCCGCAAAGGGGCCGAACGCAGAGGAGTCCCCGCGACGCGCGCTGGTCGCCCCGGCGGAATTCCAGCGACGCGCGCGGGTCGCCTGCGGCACTGGACCGAAAAGACGGGCAGTCGAAGGAAGGCAGAGGGCTATGAAGCGTGTGAGGGGTGGGCCGAAATCGACGGGGAACCGCGTGCGAACCCTGCCACTGGGGCTTTCAGTGGAGCCCCCATGGGCCACGACGCCACGAACCGCGTGAGAGGTGTGTCGAAGTGAGCGGGGGGCCGCATGCGAACCCTGGCAGTGGGGTCTTCGGTGGAGCTCCCGGTGAGGCCACGCGCCGCGTCAGGGATGTGTCGACATGTGCGGGCAAGCGCATGCGAACCGTGTCGCGGAGGCTCTCGGTGGACCTCCCTATAGGGTCACATCGCGTGCGAGGGGCGTGCCGACATAACAGGGAACCGCATGCAAACCCTCTCACTGGAGCCCCCTTTGGAGCTTCCTCTGTGGCCGCGAAGCGTGTGAGGGGTATGCCAGAATCGACCGGCAGCCGCAAGCGAACCCTGCCGCTGGGGCCTTCGGTGGGCTCCCGATGGGGCTGCTTCTGAGTGGGCCGGCCGCGCGTCGACGCTGTGCGCAAGGCCGCGGCGCCCCAAGCGTGTGTCCGCGCTACAGACCAACGTGCGGCACTTGCGGGCGCACAGCTAAAGTAAGGAGCAGCTCGGGCCCATAATGGGCTGGCGGTTCCGCAGGTCCTTCCATGGCCGCTCCTTCTCTTGGCCGCCCTCGAAGATGAGTTCGGTCCTTATCACGAGTTCCTTGTGGTAGCGCGTGGCGCGATGACTGCATACGCTGCCCAGACATCCTCCGATATGATCCTTTCAGTGCGCAGCTCCAGGGATCGGACTCCAGGGGTAGTTTTTCGTCCCGCATCCATTTTCGATGGCCCTGGATCCCCACAGCGGGCCCCAGTGCCCGAACTCGATGAAGAACGCCAGGGTGGAGCACGGCGCATCGTTCGAGGTGTGTGGCTTGTAGAGTTGCTTGTGATGGAAGCACGTAGCACGGTGACTGTGTGTGATGTGGTGCCGCTGTGCCCTCGGCCCAGGGAGCGGCCGCGGCGCCTCGCCCGCCCCGCCCCTCCCGTCGCCGAGGCCGACAGCACCTGCGCGCTGTGCCGGCAGAGCGTCGCCAGGCGCGCCGGCGACGCGGAGGCGCGCGAGAGGAACGAACGAAATGGGTACGGGAAGAGAGCGGGTGCCATGCCCAACGGCAGTTCCTGTTCATTCTGGACAGGGCTCGCTGTCCGTGCCGCCGCGGCCTGTTGTCCATTTGAGACCGAAGGCGAAGGCGGCGTGCCCAACAGCGGCCGGTGTCGGTTTGGGACAACATCTGTTGTTGGGCAGAGTGCCCATCTTTTCCGTGCCCACTTCGGGCGTCCAAATGCGAGAGGGCCTCTTGGTGCTGCTGCCCCTCCCTGCTCCTCCTCCTCCTCCTCCTCCTCCTCCTCCTCCAGCTGGCGCGTCCATGGTCTATTGTGCTATGCCTCCAGATCCGAGTCGTCTTCCTCGTTGCTGTGTCTTTTCGTTTCAAGGCCATTAGCCGTCGGATCTCACGAGTTCTGGTCTGGTCAGGTCCTCCTCCTCCGTCCCTTTCCCTGTTAAGGAACTCATCCCTGTCGCGCCCCTAGACGTGTTGGGAGGGTTGGCCGGGCCGTTCGCCTGAGACTACCTCATTGCTTACGATCCTGAAGCTTGACATTTGCAATCGTTTCACGGATGGGGGGCGGGCCGTTTTCAAAATGTGAGCATCTCAACGTATTGTGGGCGTGTGGTTTTCAACATGTGGCTCTCGCTGGCGCCGTGCGTATTCGCTGCAACAGTTTCACGGATGGGAGGAAATCGGGCTTCACGGATGGAGGGCGAATGTTTTTCAAATTGTGGTTTTCGTCTTAGCGCCGTTCGCACTCGTATTGAAAGATCGCAATTTCACAGTTTTGAGTGTTCGTATGGTCGATGTCAAGAAATACCAGGACGCAACAGTCACGTTGATTCGCGGTGTTCAAGTCCCAGGAATGGAGCTCTGGCGCGATTCAGGATTGTCAGGACCCGGCGCTCACGTTGACTCGCGACGCTGAAGTCCTAGGAATGGTACTGTGGCACGGTTGAGCATTCTTCGACGATTATCTTTCAACTGGGCTTCTCTGCAATGAATACCTTCTTGTTGAGCATTGTGAAAAGGGAACTTTGAGGGAGGGTTTATTGCAACATCGTTGACGCGTCTAGGGTTTAGACTGGTCTTCTTCCTCCTTCTGCTCCTCCTCCTCCTCGCCGACCTGCGCTTGGGCGAAGCAGGGAGCCTCCTGCAGCGGCCGCACCCGCGTTGTTTTTCATGGCTGCCCGGCGGGGCGCCCCGGGCGGGCCATTTCCAGCGCATGGCGTGCATCCGTAGCTTTACAAGGGCATGCGATACCTTGCGCGGCTCGCTGCTACCGCCGCCGCTCGGTCCTCGTTAACGACGCGCTCCACCTTTCACCGTGCTCCTGACAAGTAATCTGTCGCATCCCCAGGTGTATCCGTGGGCTGGGTCAGGCGTTTCGATCGAGGCTTCCTCGTTCGTGCTCTTCTCATCTGGAGTTTACAGTAATTCTAAGGATGGATGGGGTGGTTTTCAACATGTGGCTCTCGAGCTTGCGCTGTGCACATTCGTTTCAAACTTATACGTCAGTGTTAAGAGCGGTGGCCCGCTCCTTTTCAAAATATGTCTCTCGTCTTACCGCCGCGCACATTCGTTTCAAAGTTGACATCAGATTTTAAGGCATCGTATGCTCAAAGTACCAGAGAAATTAGGTGCTGGCACGATTTAGAGTTGGCAGAACGTGCAGTCACGTGTTTTCGCTGTGTTGGGGTCCCAGAACGGTGTGCTGGCGCGATTCAGGACAGTCAGTGCCAAACAGTCATGTTGATCCGCGGCGTTGGAATCCGAGGAATTGTGTTCTACCATCGTTCAGGGTTTTCTATTCATTTGGGATCATAGGGTGTACCCGCATTTAACCCAATCCAATTTATTCTGTACGCGGCGCCCTGCGTGGCTGCGAAATGCGCAGTTGTCGCCACTGTCGTGGGCTCCTGGGAGGTCCAGCGGAGTGGAGCGGTACGCGGACCCGGTTGGGACCTCGCGGCGCCCTGCGTGGCTGCGAAGTGCGCAGTTGTCGCCCCTATCGCGGGCTCCTGAGAGGTGTGCAAAGTCAGAGCCTTAATTTAGTCATCAACCTCGCCCTTTGCTTGGCGTGATCAGCCAGAGAACTCCCTTTCTCTCCGCTTCTGCTCCTCGGTGCGTCGCTCGCGCTCCCCTCCGGCTCTCATCCTTCGCCCCCCTTCTCTATCCTCAGCCGCTCCATGCTCCAATTGTCCGTCATTCGCTTGGCCCCGGAGGTGGCCCTCGAGGCTTTGGCATCGGACCTCCCCTCCTCTCTTCTTCACCCCCCCCTTTGCGCGACTGTCCAGACCGTTGCGCCTCCTGCGAAAAATTCGCGAGAGTCTGGGCCCCCGCGACAAATTCGCGAGAGTCCCGCGAAAGATTCGCGTGAATCCTTCGCGCCGTGCACTGTCCTCTGATGCGCCCCCCGGGCTACCTCGCCCACGTGGAACCCCCCTGGGCGATTCGCGAGGACTGTTCCCGCGCGAGACCACTCCGGGCGACTCGTGCAGGAACTGAGCGGCGGAGACCCCCCTGGGCGACTTCACCGCTCGGACCGACCCCCCCCCGGGCGAGTCGGCCCGTCCTGGAATCCCCCCAGGCGATCCAGGACCCCCCGCCCCCTCCCAGGCGAGCAGGGGCGCCTACGGGAAAAGCCCCCCGCCGAAGCTCCCCTTTTTGATGGCACTTTGGCGGGGGCGATCCGCGCTGGGGCGGCAGTTGAACCCCCCCGGGCGATCGACCGCCGCAGGTCCTTGCCACATAACAAATCATCAAAAACACAACACAACACACAACAAAAACACAAAACACACAACAAAACACGAGACGGAACATAAACACCACAAAGAAACACAACAACCACACACACACGCACACGAAAATGACTATACATTGTGGCTCTGACTTTGCACACCGGCGGAGGGGAGTGGTGCGCGGGCCCGGTTGGGACCTCGCGGCGCCCTGCGTGGCTGCGAAGTGCGCAGTTGTCGCCCCTGTCGCGGGCCCCTGTCGTTTTGCAGGACAGGAGGGGGATACAGCGTAACCCTGGGAAGCAATCAGTAGACCCCCCTCCCCCCCCCCCCTCCTCAGAGGAAATTATAACGCTTCCAGCACCAGGGCCGGGGCGGAAGCGATATCCCCCGGGTCCGCGGAGGGGAGGTCCCCGGAGGTTCCCAGGAGGCATCCAGAAAGGCCTCCACAAGCCTCTGAATGTCCAGTCCTTTCGTAGTCCAGAGCCCAGCGACAAAGCACACCTGCCCAGAGCCGCTTCCTGTGATTCTGTGCGTTTCTGTGAGGTTCCTCAGAGATTCCTTTGATACTCCGATTGGCTTCTTTTGAAAGTCCTTGCCGTTTCCATTGTGATTTTTTTGGGACTCCTTTGAGACTCCTCTGTTGTTCTTTTGATGTTATTCTGGGGGTCCCTTGAGGTTCCGGTCATATCCCTTTGATGCCCCATTGCTTAAGGGAACATCACATCGACATCCGGGGCCGGTGGATTATTTTATTTTCAATGAATGTGCTAACATATCGCGGGGTGGGTCGCGGAATCCGTCTGCGGTATCTCTCCGTGGACTCTCCCATAGGATCCCCTGAAATAATCAATTTCCCTAGTGCGGTCGCAATAGGGATTGCTTATGTCCACGCGAGCCCGCGTTTTCCAAATTCCTTAGATTCCTTCGTGATTCGTTTGAGCTGCCGCTGAGATGCCTTCGCGATTTCTGTTGGGCTCCTTCGAGATTACTTTGAACTTCCAGGTTCCTTTGATACTAGCCGGCCGCTCTGCGGTTGATCGGGAGTTTCTGTATATAGAAGAAGGTGCGTGCGCTTGTTGGCGAGGGTGATGAGGTTCCTCCTCCTCCTCCTCCTCCTCCTCCTCCTCCTCCTCCTCCATCCTTCTCTTGCCTCCGTCTGTCCTCCTCCACCCCGCAGCTCCATCATCTTCTCCTCCTCCTCCTCCTCCTCCTCCTCCTCCTCCTCCTCCTCCTCCTCCTCCTCCTCCTCCTCATTCCTCCTCTGGGCACCTCCCCCGGGGCGCGGATCCACCGGATCTGTCCGGATCTGTCCGGAAACGGTGCCGGATGCCGCTCTGGGCTCCTCTGGGCACCTCCCCCGGGGCCGGTTTTGTGAGGATGTCTCAAGCGAGGGCGCCGGGTTTGGGATTCGTCACCGGATCCAGCGGATCGGATCTGTCCGGAAATCTCGGGCGCCGGTTGGGATTCGTCCAGCGGAGGATCTGTCCGGAAACGGTGCCGGAGGCCGCTCTGGGCTCCTCTGGGCACCTCCCCCGGGGCCGGTTTTGTGAGGATGTCTCAAGCGAGGGCGCCGGTTTGGGATTCGTCACCGGATCCAGCGGATCCAGCGGATCCAGCGGATCTGTCCGGAAACGGTGCCGGAGGCCGCTCTGGGCTCCTCTGGGCACCTCCCCCGGGGCCGGTTTTGTGAGGATGTCTCAAGCGAGGGCGCCGGTTTGGGATTCGTCACCGGATCCAGCGGATCCAGCGGATCTGTCCGGAAACGGTGCCGGAGGCCGCTCTGGGCTCCTCTGGGCACCTCCCCCGGGGCCGGTTTTGTGAGGATGTCTCAAGCGAGGGCGCCGGTTTGGGATTCGTCACCGGATCCAGCGGATCCAGCGGATCCAGCGGATCTGTCCGGAAACGGTGCCGGAGGCCGCTCTGGGCTCCTCTGGGCACCTCCCCCGGGGCCGGTTTTGTGAGGATGTCTCAAGCGAGGGCGCCGGTTTGGGATTCGTCGGATCCACCGGATCCACCGGATCCACCGGATCTGTCCGGAAACGGTGCCGGAGGCCGCTCTGGGCTCCTCTGGGCACCTCCCCCGGGGCCGGTTTTGTGAGGATGTCTCAAGCGAGGGCGCCGGTTTGGGATTCGTCACCGGATCCACCGGATCCATCGGATCTGTCCGGAAACGGTGCCGGAGGCCGCTCTG